ATAAGCAAGTATAAATGAATCTATGACTAACAGAAGAATTGCATCAATCTCGATGCCGGTGTTGTTAATGTATGGAAAATTTCTATTCATATGTATTGTATTAGGAAATTCTATAGCGTTCCTTTCGAAAAACATAGACGCATGATGTGGCCCGATCAAGAGTAATAGGGACGGTTGGTTTATTCTCAAATAAAAGAAGTGACGATATGGGTTTTTAGGCCTACTTGGGACTAGTTGGTTTTATAGAAAATAGTAACCAAAGCAAGGATTAGTTAGAGGCAGCTGAAATTCCTAGGAAATATAATAAAGAAGGAGGTCTTGAATAACAACATTCACAGGGCATAGGACAAGACAGATAGGGGAAGCCAGCGAGCCACTTACATGGCGGGCTTGTGAGCATGAATAGGTGAAGGGGAAACGGAGGCCTTAACTAAAGGAAACATAGCTGGTAAGGGATATATGGATAGGAAGGTTTAGAGTGCCATCATTGCACTTAATGATGAAGGGACGCAGCCTAGAGAAGAAGAAGAAGAAGAAGAAGAAGTGATGAAGAAGAAGAAGAGATGAAGAAAAAATGAATGGAAAAAAGAAGGATAAGAAGAAAGATAAGAAGAAGAAAAAAGAATTTGAAAAAGAAAGACAAAAAGAAAGAGAAAAAGAAGATGAATAGAAGATGGAGAAGAAAAATAAGAATGAGAAGAAAAATAAGAAATATAAGAAAAGAAAAAGATGGTGAATAATAATAATAATAATAATAATAATAAGAAGAAGAAGAAGAAGAAGAGGAGGAGGAGGAGGAGGGGGTGGAAGAAACAAAAGACAAAGAAGAAGGGAGATTCCTTCTTTTGCACTGCGAGATGATCTTTTTTGTATCGTCAAAAACTGTTCAAATATTCGAATTCATTAACCTATTTTTTTTCATTATTAATTTCTTTTTATCGATTAACGTTACTAGGAGGAAGAAAAAAAAGGTGAAGAAGAAGAAAACAAAGAAAACGAAGAAGATGAAGAAAAAGAAAGCGAAGAAGAAGAAAGAAGATGAAGAATGTGCAGATGATGAAAACGAAGAAGAAGAAAACAAAGAAGAAGATGAAGAAAAAGAAAGCGAAGAAGAAGAAATGAAGATGAAGAAGGAAACGAAGAAGGTGAAGCAGAACAAAATGAAGAAGAAGGCGAAGTAGGTGAAGAAGAAGGAAACGAAGAAGAAGAAGAAGAAGAAGAAGGAAACGAAGAAGAAGAAGAAGAAGAAGAAGGAAACGAAGAATGCGAAGAAGAAGAAAACGAAGAAGAAGATGAAGAAGGTGAAGAAGAAGAAAATGAAGAAGACGAAAAAGGAGAAGTTGACCATTGCAACATACAAGTCTGGTGCTGAGTTGCTGAATAAGATATCCGAAATTATGGCAAAATGTAGACACATGAGGAAGTTGACTTTGGGACTATACGAACCCAACTGATGTTGGAAAAACAATATTATTTTTTTAATAACTCAGTCCCTCCTCATTAATTCCGGGTCCTGCATTAAGAAGATTAAGTCTTTTTGGTGTGTCAGTAATTATTTCACCAGAGTTAACAACCTGGAGTAACACTGAAATTAAAGTGCCCTTTGGGAGATTGTTTCTCCAACAAATTAAATAATATTTATGTTGGTCACACCACAAACTCGCTTTCACGACGCTTGACTCTACATTTGAATGATAACTCTAACATTTAAAACAACATGCCTGACCGCGTACACAATTCTGGAAAATCCTCATTAAAAACACAACTATACTTAAACATGAAAACAATAAACAAAAACTAAAAATTCTTGAAGCTATATACATAAAACAGTTGAAACCTAACCTGAACAAACTGAAATCACCTCAAATATTCTTAAATTCATACAATTGATAACAGAAGCCATACTTAATACTTCTCGTTTTCACTCTCGTGTGGTCATACGTGACGTCACGATGCGATTTTCACTTCCGCGTCTCGTATACACGAATTTTTCTTGAAATTTTTCATGCAAAAAAAAACAAAAAAAAACAAAAACAGACTACCATTATTGTTTTGTCCGTGTATTGTTTGATATACAGAAATGTAATCGTCATCTTTGATAATAGCTTATGTAAGCCGAAAGCTTAGATTGGATTTAAACATTTATCAATATGGTGATTTCCTTTAGTCTTTCAATGATAATGTTATTAAGCTCATCAGACAATATGAAAGGAACTTACTTAAAATAAATGGACAAAACGTGTCTATATTATTTAATGAAAAAATGTATTAAAAATGAAGAGAGATACCGCAAAAGTTTTTGGTTGTAATGAGGACTTTTTAAAAAAATATGCTTTATTTATATTATTATTATTATTATTTATATTATTATATTTTATAATATACACACTTTCTCTCGTTGGAACCACTATAACCTCTTCATTATTATATATATATATATATATATATATATATATATATATATATATATATATATATATATATATGTAAGCAAATGTAAATGGATGTAGATCCGACAGAATGAAGAAAAAATTTGGAAAAAACAAAAAAATCCTTAAATGAAATTATGTTGTTTAAAATGAATTCATTTTAAACAACATAATTGCATGTAAGGATTTTGTTTGTTTTTCCAAATTTTCTTCATTCATATATATATATATATATATATATATATATATATATGTATAATTTGGTTTCAGTTAACGTTACATGTAACATTGTCTGATATTAAGAACGGGGATGTTCGTCTAAAAACAAAGAGTGAATATGAGGTGACAGATTCTTCACTCCAATTTAATATAAATATAAATTTAATGATGAAAGAACGTGTTACGGTGTACATCACTAAAAATATGTGAGAATCATTTAAATCTGGCTCCTTTTGAAGCGAATCATTTTGTATTCTTTGAACTGTTTCCCGCGAATATTTTCAAAGTTAATGTCTATTAGACAACCATTGTCCTTTACTCCAAGTCACTTAATACTAATTATGAAACAGTCAGAATGATTAAGTGTAATCATTTTTCTTTTGATGAGTCACTCTTTAAAAGATCTTTCGATAGATACACAGCTTCTCAGGAAACATTATCTACGATAAGCATGGCGATTTTAAACAAAATCCCACGTATATATTGTGGACATATCTAAAATTAATTAGATTCTAATGTTATTAATGTTGCTTCTCTGCTCTAAACAAATTGTTCGCCCCAAAACACAGAGATTGGTGCAAGTAATTTCCTATGAATACCTTCATGATTGGCGTTATATTTATCACTTGTATGAATAAAAGACAGAACTTCCGAGTCTCCACAAAGTATTTCAGAAAGATAGGAAATTATAGTCACATTATTTGTACTGTCGACAGTACTAACAATATAAATGAAGACATTGATACAATGATCTCTTTTCTATGCTTTATCAAACATTAGCAGGCTACTTAAAGGCAGATAAATTCATAAAGTTAAAATTTCTTTGAATTTTTTACTGATACAGGTCTTGTTAATTAACCCATACCTGGGGGAGAAGAAGTGGATTTATACAAATCCAATTTGATTTGCATAGATGAAATTATATATATGTAAATTTGGATATCAATTCTAATATACATCTGTATATAAACTGATCATTCAATCTGTAGCCACATAAGTTTTTATAAATTTATAGTCCAAAGAATTTAAGTAAATCTAAAAGATATGCCTGTGTAGCAAATAAGTGTTTCGTTGTTGATTCCGACCTTCATATCCGTCCTGTGTAAAAAGTTAAACTACATCCGCGTCCTGGGTAAGACGTTAAACTACGTCCAGCAGTAAGGCGTCTGATCAGGAGTTTTTGAGGAGCATGGAACCACCTCTTAACTGCTGGTGTTCCCAGATCTACCCTGACCCAAGGTAGTAGCACCTGTTAGGGTCCCAGCTATGGTCCAATAGTTAACTAATACCAGCAATACTTTTGCGAAACAAAGTTATTAACAACAATAAAATATTGAAGGAAAAATATTACCAGAAACAGAAACAAAATATTACCGGCAATAAAAAATGTTGTCGGAATTAAATAACCCATTGAGGATGATATGCCGTAAAACAAAATAAGCCAAACCAATGTAAATCAAATAATACATATTCTGTTCATACGAAGCTACCCTAAAAATGTTGTCGGCATTAAATAACCCATTGAGGTTGATATGCCATAAAACAAAATAAACCAAACCAAACCAAACAGACCTGTATATGACGATAAACAAACGTCCAATAGCAAGGCTTCTGATTAGGAGGCTTTGAGGATCGTGGAACCACCTTTTGATTGCTGGTTTTCACAGGTTCACCCTGGCCCGGCGTGGTAGCACCTTTTAAGGTCTCAGCTATGGGCAAATAGTTAACCCCCAAACTGGGGTCAAAACATTATGAAAATATAAAAATATGTTTTTAATATCACCAATGAGTTTGTGTAGAAAAATTACCAGCAATATATTTGGTAGAAAAAAATTATTACCGATAATACATTATTACCAGCAATACATTTTTCAAAAATGTTAACATCAATACATTTTTGAAAAAAAAAATATTACCATCAATGGGTTTTAGAAAAAAATATTAGCAGTAATACAGATTTTAAAGAAATAATATTACAAGCAATAGAGTTTTGAAGGAAAAACATTACAAGCAATACATTTTTGAAAAATGATTATTACCAGCAACAATAATCTTATTAAGCATTAATAAGGTTGATATGCCTTAAAACAAAGCAAAGCTAACCAATCATTGCTGATTAATTCGTTTTCTCTAACAGATAAACTCTTTACAGGTTATTTAAATCCAGAAAAAACATGTTAGGCTAAAGGAATTTTCCTTTCTTTTTTGTGGGGGAGATAATAATAATTTAAAGATACAAAACTCTTTACTTAACACATACCTGGGGGAGAAGATGTGAATTCATACCTTTTCCAAAGGTATTTCCGTGTAATTAAATATAACGAATTTTATTCATACACCCGTAAATTTAAGCTTACAGCACCTGGTATTCCTAAGCTGTCACCCATCCTAGTAATGACCAGTCTTGACGTTGCTTTACTTCAGCGATCGTACGCGAACCAGTGTTTTAACGTAAGCCCATAAATGAATTAAATACGCTTAAATAGATCCTTTTTTTTATTATCATTTATTTCTTTATGCACCAAGTGGTAGTAATCAAACTTTTCTTCTTTAATGTGGCATGATGATAGTTCTCCTCGACTTCCTATATTTTGTTACTTTAAGCAATCTTCGTCCACTTAGTATCATTCCAAGTTCCTGTTATATGATCCATTTATACACCTCCTTAGATTGGTTAGTCGATGTTTCCTTCTGCACCTCTTTAAAACAATGTTTTGTGAGTGTCAAATTCTTCTAACCTTTATTATGAGTACCAGAAATATCAATTTATTCCATTTCAAGAATAAGTACGTTGCTATCCTTCTTAAAATGTCCGAATTGCTTACATATTCCCTCCATATTAATCGTATTATCCACGTGTAGTACCACATGTCTACCGATCAAATCTTTTATGATGACAACAAACACTCGTTTTTGACTCTTGTGATGCCAAAGAATACTCGTTGTCACTTTCGTAATGCTCGTTGTAGTAGAGACTTTGTAATCTCAGATAGAGCTATAGTACGCCGTTGAACAATGCTGGTGTCAGACGCCTTCGAACATTACTCGCGCTAATTGTACTTGCTCAATAATGCTCGCACGTATAGTAAACCATATAGTGATCCTAATAGAGCATAGTGAATAGCGTAGAGAGCAGAATCTCAAAACGTATAGTAATAGAGGATAGTGTAGATATAGTGATCAGAATAATAATAGAAGATAGACTAGAAATTGCGATTAATTAGTCGTCAGCTACTTTTTACATATATGCGTTTCCTCTATGGTCACGTGGTCTACTAAATTTAATAATGGGATCGCCTGTGTTTGCACACTGGCGATCTATGTTCAAACTCAAGTGTCGGCAGCCACACTTTATTCCTACATAACAAAATCTGTTTCATCTGTTTTTTTCCTTTTTCTTCTATTTTTGCTAAGATTCACCAGATACAAGGCCCAAGAGCCACTCAAGGTAGAGGGTTGCTCTTTGATGTTCTACAAGCGTAAGTAAGGTCAAGGAGTGAAGTTCCTGAGAATCTGCATGAAATATAATGGCTAACTCTGGACGAGGTCATGATTGTTTCAATTAAGAAAACACAAGAGAATGACGCAACATTAGAAGGAATCAAAAAACCCAACCTTAAACAGCAAACAGGAAATAAACCTTTACTCCTATTAAAACGGCCAGGGAAGAGTGTGAACCGGACGAGAGGAAAACTTATCTAATTCTATTTGCGAAGAAAAAAATAACAAATATAACATGTCAGAGTTCAGGTGGGGAGGTTAGAATTACAGACTTGAATTAGTTTTGAGAAGGAACTGAAAACCAAATCCTAAACAGGAAACAAGGGATAAACCTTTACTTCAGTTCAAAAGACATCATTTGAGTACTTGCAGAAATAGCAACAAAAATGGATAACAAATTTAATTCTGAAAGAAAATAATGACATAATCAAGATATTGATTTACCACACTACTTTGAAAAAAAAGGTTAGGATGGAAACATCTATCAGCACTAGAACGTGGTAGTTGATTTAAGAAGACTATTTTCCCGAATCTTCCCACGTATGGAAACAATTAATATTACCATTGCTATAAAAATTCAAAATTAAATGACAAAAGATTTATTATTTTCATGGTGGACTATATTGGTGTTGTGAACAAGTGTTTTTTTGTATTGAGAAGGTGGATAGAAATGTTATTTTCAATTTGTGCAATAGAACTTGTTTCCGACAAATAGAGTGTAAGACATCTTGACAAAACTATGGTCGTCATGCCAACATATTTACTTACTTTTTTGTCAGAGATACAATCTCTCAAAGTGCATTTAAACTGATATACAATGTTGGTCTTTTTCAAAATACGAGCTGACGGAGAAGAGATTTTGCGTATGATTAAGTAGGTTGTATTAAAATTAGTATAGTATATGATTAGTTTATTTTTTTACTATGATCAGTGTGGAATATATATATATATATATATATATATATATATATATATATATAAAAGAACCTATATACATAAAAAATGTCTTAAAATATTTGTCGGACTTTGTCCATTTCCATTTCATAATATATATATATATATATATATATATATATATATATATTTCAATAAAGGTGCAATCAATTTACAAATTCATGAATTATTCATACAAAAAACAAATACAAAAGGTTAATGATTTAATTGGCGAGAAATCCATCGTCGCGAACAATTCAAATAATATACAAAAAACCCCGAATCTGTTTATGAATGAAAAGATACTTGTTTTATAAATTCCTATTGCATTAGTTCTTATTAACTGTATGAACAGACGAAAGCTTGTAAAAATAATAAGAACTCATGCAGCAGGAATTTATAGAAACAAGGATCTTTTCATTTATAAACAGATTCGGGTTTTTTGTATATTATTTGAATTGTTTGCGACGATGGATTTCGCCAATTAAATCATTAACCTTTTGTATTTGTTTTCTGTATGAATAATTCAATATATATATATATATATATATATATATATATATATATATACTACAATGAATCATTCATACAAAAAGTAAATCAGTAATTTTAATGATATAAAATGGCGAAATCCCTTCGCTGACAAAATTTTAAAGGTGCATTAACCTACCAATCACTAGATGAATGTCATGATCCTTGTTTTTTTTTTTAATTTATAAGCTGTATAATGTTTTTCTTAAATACGCAAGTACTTTCGACTCTACATTCTATCATCTTCAGGCATGGAAATTATTTTGATTATAAATATATATAGAAAGATGGATAAATAGATAGACATCCCCAAACAGACTGTTTCACTGTATTACATCTCCTCAGTGTGGTTAGGCGTCCAATCGCTTGAAACCGGGATCGAAACCCGATTGATTTGATATCGGTCAGATATTTTACCCCTGGGTCATCGGAAGAACGGAAGGGATATATTCTCTATACAAAATAAGCCAATAAGAGCCGCTGTTTTTTAAAAACCCCTTTCCCTAGAGAGCCGGATTTCAGGGAGAATATATATATATATATATATATATATATATATATATATATATATATATTATGGACAAAATCCGACAAATATTTTAAGACATTTTTTATGTATATAGGTTCTTTTTATATATACAAATATTCAAGTAAATGCTCCGTTTATAAAAACAGTCGACCTTGATCACCGAAACGCTCCTCTGTGGCTCAATCGGTAAAAGCACGTCAGGCTATATGATGGTTCCGTATAGGATAGAAGTTCGATTCCTGTCGGAGAACGCATATTTTCTATGAAAATTTCTCGGACAATCAGACCGGTAAACGCCGTTAATACTGTTTATTATAAACAGACCATTTACTTAAATATTTGTATCTATAAAAAGTACGTATAAACATAAAAAATCTCTTAATATATATATATATATATATATAATCTCGATTTTAGTAAACACTAGCAGTAGAGCCCGGCGTTGCTCGGGGATGTAACAGTAAGAGATAGATCAAGTATCGACCATCATAAAGACTGAAAAATAAAATTGACAAAGATTATTGCTTAAGGTTGACGGACACGCATGTCTTAATTAGTTTTTTTTTTTTTTTTACGAATCGGTCAAACCCAAACTCAAACAAAAACATTGTTTTCAATCGTTATGAGTCTACCGATTGAATAGAATTTTATTATAAACAATTGTCTTGTAAATGGAATTTTTAACGCATTCTGAATGTAAAAATAAAGAAAAAAGTGTGTAAGACAATAAGAAACACTACCTACCAAAAAAAAAAGTGAAGTATTGTTGAAATCGGTTGAAAAATGTAGGAAATCCGATCCCATATATAAAGGAACACACACACACACACACACAAACAAACAAACAACCTGAGTTTTATAATAAGTATAACTCGATATGAGTTGTCCCCCTTTCATTCTGGTGAATCCTATTTTATCGTGTTTTCAAATTGATTTCGTGCAAAAACAATTGTGTTTTTCTAATTTTTGGCGCTGTCAGGATCACCGCAAGGTAATTTTACGTAGTCCTGTGAAGTTTTGTTGAAATCGGTTGAAAAATGTAGGAAATCCGATCCAATATATAAACGAGCAGGCACACACACACACACACACACACACACACACACACACACACACACACAGAGCCTGGGTTTTATAATAAGTATGATTCATGTAACGTTACCGATGTAATATTGTCTGCTAATAAGAATACGAGGTGATAGATTCTACGCTCAAATTTAATATAAATATAGATTTAATGATGAAAGAACGTCTCCCAAAACCCAAACAGTGGATATGAGGCGATACGTTCTATACTTCAATTTAATATAAATATGAATATAATAATGAAAAACGTGTCCCAGTTACATCACGAAAAATATGTGAGAATCATCGAAATCCGGCTTCATTTGAAGCGAATCACTTTGTATTCTCTGAACTGCTTCCCGATAATATTCCGAATGATAATTTCTATTAGATCTCCTTTGTTTGTTTTTACTGCAATTCACTAAAATACTAATTATGAAATAGTCAACATAATTGTAATCAGTTTTCTTTTTTCTGGTCGTTTTAATAGGAATAGAATTTTATACCTTGTTTGCAGGTTAGGGTTGGGCTTCCGTTTTCTTAAAATAACGTAAGATTTAATAATCGGCTGAAAAATTAAATTCTCTTGTATTGTTCAAGTTTGCAATATTACCACATTATTATTGTTTTCTTCATATTTATGGAGGTGGAGCTTTGGGACAGTTTTGAATTTAGAGTTGATTCATACTTGATAAACGCTTAGGGGATTATGTATCTTTCGATTTATGACTGACGAGGTAGATTCTTTCCCGCCGTAGGTTGCCATTTCTTTATGCGCCATCCAAGGCTACAGAGCCCAGTCTGTCCTGCTATTTAGCTGTGTGGGAAGAAGAGGATTCATCCATTTCCCAACGGGCACGTAAGTGAATGTAATGGATTCGACTGGAATTCGA